GCGGCAAGTACTTGCCCTATGTTTACCTTCACGACAACGAGGGCAAACAGTAGCAGGAGCATTTGGCCGTGTTTGTTGAGCCGGCTTGGCCACTTTTAAGTTTTTAACAGTGCAATTTTTTTGAGTATGACCAAGTTCACCACAATTAAAGCAGGCTCCAAGAAAAGAATCAGTCGAGCCAGTTTGATTGCCATCCTTCATGGCCTGTGCCCACAGAATAGCTTTGTGAGTCTCTAATTCAAAGCCTTCACAAGCTTTAATATATGCAGGCAACACCTCATAATCAGGTAAATTTTGTCGTTGGACGGAACACATGGCCATTTTACTCATGATTCGCATTCTCAAAAGCTAACATATGAAGGAGAATACCTTGAGTGTGCTCATCAGAGACAGAATTTTGAACAGCATCTTGTAATTTAGCCAAAAAATCAGATTATAATTCATTGTGACCCTGTTTAACAGTAGTAAAAGAAACAGGAACTTGGCCTGGGGCACATAATTTATCCAAAGCTCTCACTCATACATACCTTTTTTTACTTGTTCCATGGTGAGAGCATCAAAGCCTAATTGGGTAGTAGTGTCAGAGCGATGATCAGAGCCTGTGAGCTGAGCCTGAGTAATTAGAATGCCATCAGCCCGATTTAGCTGAGCCTGCAGACGGGCCTCCTCTGACCACCAGGTACAGAATTGTAAATGCTGAGATGAAGTTAGAACAGCTTTTGCCAAAAGGTCCCAGTCTAAAGGAAGCAAAATGACCTCAGTACAAAGAGTGTGTAAATTCATTTTAACATATGGAGAAGTAGGATCATGCTGAGTACAAGCATCCTTGAATTCTTTTAAAAAGGTAAAATTAAGCAGCACATATCAATGCACTTACACCCCTTGAGCATTAGGAGGTTCCAGCGTGACTGGATAATCCCACACCTCTAATCCGCTTGTTTCTTGTTTTGGCGTAATGAGCATTGCATGGAAGTTTCAACAACAGGCACATGAGACGGAGTCAGCATAGAAGTGACAGGAAAAGTATGTGTAGATAAGGGAAACTGAGGTTGAGGAGGTCAGACCAGTATGAGAGCATGAGAAAGGGGCATTGGGGGAGCAGAAGAGGCAGAAGTATACTGCTGATTATTGTCCCAATCCTGTGCAGCCAGAGTGGCAGGGCATCCATGCGTGAAGAAGGGTACAGAGAAGAAGGTTGAGTGGGTGGCAAAGTGACCGGTTGAGGGACCGAAATGACAAGAGGGTGAGGGGCTGAGGTAGATGGGGGAGGGCCTGCACAATTACAGGTAAATTGTAGTTTGGTCCCAGAGCCATTAGATGGCTCTGGAGGCAAAGACTGCAAAGGTTTAGAGAGGGAAGAGTTAGCATAGATATCGTCCCGGGCTGTCCGAGTTGGGGCCGTGGTAGCTACAAGTACCGGCTCTTCATGAAAAGAAATAAGATCATCAGGGGGTGACATTAAGCCAGAGTCACCAGAGTTAAATATTGAATTCTTAACATTGTCAGGTGGGGGAGGAGTAGACAAAGGGAGAGGCTGAGCAGATAACGAAGGCCAAATGGGACAGGAAAGCTGAAGAAGAGATAGTGGGTCACCAGATTCAGAAAATTGTGGTAACTGCAGGGGGTCACGGGATTGGTATGTCATTAGGACGGCACGTACCAAGGCCCAATCACCCCAGTGATGGGAACATTATTTCCTGTCGGGACCAGTTTCCAGAATTTTGTACCAACACAATCCCATAGTTCCAGGAAACCAAGGACAGTGTTCCTTCACTGCCCTGAATAGGGTGACCATATTTTCCATGGGCACTCGCACTCCCCCTGTTTTAACAGGAGTTTAATATAGCAGAGATAAGCATAATGTTTAGACAGCACGTGACCCAAAGTTACCCCGGACAATACACAGACAATTCACCAATCGTCAGGGAGCTGAACAAGCATTTCTGTGAACTGGACCGATGAATGTTTCTCCACACCTACCAAAGGGAATTGGGTTCCCACATGCTTAGGAAAAAGAAAACCATGTTGGCATGCCAGATATTGGGGGAACCTGCCCCCAATATTTCAACGTAGTTTCTTTCTATTTTCCATAAGTGTCGGCTGGCTGAGAAATAAAGAGAGACTGTATAAAGAGAGGAATTTTACAGCTGGGCCACCGGGGGTGACATCACATATTGGTAGGACCGTGATGCCCACCTGAGCTGCAAAACCAGCAAGTTTTTATTAAGAGTTTCAGGCCGGGCGCAGTGGCTCACGCCTGTAATCCCAGCACTTTGGGAGGCTGAGGCAGGCAGATCACGAGGTCAGGAGATCGAGACACGGTGAAACCCCGTCTCTACTAAAAATACAAAAAATTAGCCAGGCGTGGTGAAGGGCGCCTGTAGTCCCAGCTACTCGGGAGGCTGAGGCAGGAGAATGACGTGAACCTGGGAGGCGGAGCTTGCAGTGAGCCAAGATCATGCCACTTCATTCCAGCCTGGGCGACAGAGCCAGACTCCCTCTCAAATCACCACGCCTGGCTAATTTAAAGGGGTTTCAAAAGGGGAGGGGCTGTAAGAACACAGAGTAGGTACTAAGATCACATGCTTCAAAGAGCAAAAAGCAGACCTACTGATAAGGATCTATGTTCAGCAGTGCACGTATTTTCTTGATAAACATCTTAAACAACAGAAAACAGGGTTTGAGAGCAGAGAACCCATCTGGCCACAAATTTACCAAGGTGGAGTTTTTCCCCATCCTAATAAGCCTGAGGGTACTGCAGGAGACCAGGGCGTATCTCAGTCCTTATCTCAACCTCCTAGGACAGACATTCCCACAGCAGCCATTTATAGACCTCCCCTGAGGAACGCATTCCTTTCCCAGGGTATTAATGTTAATATTCCTTGCTAGCAAAAGAATTTAGTGATGTCTCTCCTACTTGCACGTTGTTTATAGGCTCTCTGCAAGAAGAAAAATATGGCTCTTTTTGCCTGACCCTGCAGGCAGTCAGACCTTATGATTGTCTTCCCTTGTTCCCTAAAAATCGCTGTTATTCTGTTCTTTTTCAAGGTGCACTGATTTCATATTGTTCAAACATATATGTTTTATAATTAATTTGTACAGTTAACACAATTGTTACAGTGGTCCTGAGGTGATGTACATCCTCAACTTACGAAGATAACAGGATTAAGAGATTACAGGCATAAGAAATTATAGAAGTATTATTTGGGAACTGATAAATGTTCATCTTAAAATGAAATCTTTACAATTTATGTTCCTCTGCCGCAGCTCCAGCTGGTCCCTCCGTTCAGGGTCCCTGACTTCCCGCAACAGAAAAAGAACTTGTTTCCCTTTATTATGATAACAGGCTCACTATACAAGCTACTAATTCTCCCCACAGCTGTCCAGACTTGGCCTTTCTGCAACATGCTGTTTACAAATGTGTACACTGATTCACCATCCTCTCTGTGGATAAATGTACGAGTCCTCCTAGGATCTGCCCATTTGTGCATTAGCGGACAATTATTAGGTTGATGCAAAAGTAATTGCTGTTTTTGCCATTATTTTAATGGCAAATTAATACTTGGCCTGCAGAGTACACAAACTAGATCTTAATCCAAAATATCTTTTGAGACATTCTCTTAAAAGTTAAAAAAAAAAAAAAAAAGACAAAAATTGGCCAAAGGCAAACAAAGATAACAACAACAACAACAAAACCCAATGGTATGATCCTAAACTTAAGTTGACTCAAAATCAGTGCCCCAAAGTGGACTCATCACCCCCTTTCCTCAAATTTGCTGTCATCTCTGTCTGACATGTGGCAGCGTGATCTTGCCAGCTACCAAAACTAGAAACCAAAGATGTCCGATGTGTCTCCTCCCCACCCTTCCTCATCTACTCACCAAGTCTTACTGATTTTACCTCCTAAACATTTTTTCTACTAGTGCCACAATTCAAGTTTGTGTCATCTATTACCTGAATCACTGTAACTGCCTCTCAGTTTTTTTCTTCCTCCAGTGTTGACCCCTAAAATCCAGCCTCCATACATCAGCCAGAATAATCAATACGACACATAAACCTGACTCTATAATTTAATCAGTGGCTCCCCATTCACTTTTTGATAAATCTTAATATGACATGTGGGATCTTAATCTGAACTTCTGCTGGCCTTGAACTTTATGATCCATCCAACAACAATGATCCTACTAGTGGTTTCCACATGACCAGTCTCCTCTCTGTCATTGCCCACACCCTGCCTGATGTGTCCTTTCACCCTGGGGAAAGTAAGTGAAAGGGCATGGCAAACCACTGCTAGAATTGTATTGTGTGCCCCTCTGTGTTCCCATAACTCCCTGTATTGAACTCTGTTGTGATACTCATCACAATGTATTAGGTTGAAACTGCCAATATTGAATCCTTTATTATCAAAACAATAACAGTATTATGTGGTCCCACTTAACTATGATACTTAGGTTTCTTTCTACTACCCCAAGGAGAACTCCTCCGGGTCAGTACTCTACTTCATTCATTTTTGTGTCAAGGTTTTTCTAAGCTCAGTGAATATGACTTTCACATTAAAATGCTAAAAGAATGAATGGTTTAATGAACTGTAGTTAACTCATTATTTATTTTGCAGCCAGTAAACCGACATCCATGAATAGTTTTTAATGACATGGAAAAAAGCTTAGTCTTATATTTTTTAAAAAACCTGATATGGAACACACACAGATACTGACATTCACAAAGTATTTAAAGTTCATAAATGTAAAAACTAGTATTTTAAGATTTTTATCTTCTTTTAAGAAGCTTGCCTTAAATTCAGTTCCAAGTAAAAGAAGCTAGTCAAAATACTAAAAGCAAAATGTGCCTGTATACCTGCCAAAAATGTGTTGTTACAATCTTGCCCAATTCAAATGGAAAAAATCTCACTACTTTTTAAAAATTATTTTTAATTATTTTCAGCTGTCGATACAATATGCTCATATCAATTATTACCTTGCCCTCTTTGTTGCTTTTTCTAGCATGGACTGGAGGAAACAGCTGCCAAATGCAAGGGACTGGGTGCCAAGGTTTATACCTTTGTGGTAGACTGCAGCAACCGAGAAGATATTTACAGCTCGGCAAAGAAGGTGAAATGTTGTGTTTAGTTAGAATCATATCATGTTAGAGCTAGGAGGTGTTTTGGAAATGATCCAGTCTGTACATGATATAGCTGAAGTAACTGAGAAATGTTATTTGACCAAGGTTATAGAACTAGCTCATAGCAAACCCAAAACTAGAACCGAAAGCTGAAGTTCTCAAATATTAGTATGTTCTGGAATTTTCTAGGGAATTGTTAAAAAAAATATACACTCTTGGGCTCCACTTCCAGAGGTTTCCTTTCAGTAGTTTGAGGGCAGGGCCTCAAATGCACCCTATCCACCCTCCATCCCATGCACCTTCACCTCACCCATGATTCTCGTATAGGTAACTATCCTTGGATGACACTTGCAGAATCGCTGACAGGATCTTTTGAAGCCCATTCATAGAATTGAGTTAGAAAGTTACAATAAAGCTATTCTTTATCAGGTTTTTAGTGTAGATAGATCTATTTCTTTTCTTTTCTCTTCTTTTTTTTTTTTTTGAGATGGGGGTCTCACTTTGTCACCCAGGTTGGAGTGCAGGGGCATGATCTTGTTTCATTGCAACCTCCACCTCCCAGAATCAAGCAATCCTCCCACCTCAGCCTCCCAAGTAGCGGGGTCCACGGGTGTGTGCCACCACGCCCAGCTAATATTTTGTATTTTTGGTAGAAAACGGAGGTTCACCATGTTGCCTAGGCTGATCTTGAACTCCTGAGCTCAGGGGATCCACCCACCACAGCCTCCCAAAGTGCTGGGATTATAGGCGTGAACCACACTCCCAGCAGATCTATTTCTATAAAGCATTATTTGCCTCTTCTAGATACAATTGAGAGGTGCTATATATAGTGGGGTTTCACTCTGAATGCATTCTCACTTGTACCTGTTAACTAAATACCTTAATGGGAGCAAGGTCATCAGAATTACCTGGGCTGATTCCTTAAAATACACATTCCTGGACCTTACCCCTGGATATTCTAATTCAGTGCAGTACAAAGAGTCTGATTCAGCCAGACGTGAGAACCTCTATGTTTATGGAATTTTAGATTTGAGTTCTTTTTTTTTTGAAATGGAGTCTCGCTCTGTCGCCCAGGCTGGAGTGCAGTGGCGTGATCCCAGCTCACTTCAAGCTCCACCTCGTGGGTTCACAAGCAATTCTCCTGCCTCAGTCTCCCGAGTAGCTGTGATTACAGGCACGTGCCATCGTGCCTGGCTAATTTTTGTGTTTTTGTAAAGATGGGGTTTCACTGTGTTGGCCAGGCTGGTCTGGTCTCGAACTCCTGACCTCAAGTGATCCACCCTCTTTGGCTTCCCAAAGTGCTGGGATTACAGGCATGAGCCACCACACCCGGCCTGAGTTCTTTTTCTTTTTCTTTTTCTTTTTTCTTTCTTTTTTTTTTTTTTAGATAGAGTCTAGCTCTAGCTCTGTTGCCCAGGCTCAAGCTCCACCTCCCGGATTCACCCCATTCTCCTGCCTCAGCCTCCCAAGTAGCTGGGATTACAGGTGCCCATCACCATTCCTGGCTAATTTTTTTGTATTTTTAGTAGAGATAGGATTTCACCGTGTTAACTAGGATGGTCTTGATCTCCTGACCTTGTGATCCACCCGCCTCGGCCTCCGAAAGTGCTGGGATTACAGGCGTGAGCCACTGCACCTGGCCCATTTTCAGGTATTTTGAAGTAGCTATTTTGATGTGGCCATTTTAGTATCAGAACTTTTTTTCTTTTGGAGACAGTCTTGCTCTGTTGCCCAGGCTGGAGTGTAGTGGTATAATCTTGGCTCACTGCAACCTCTTCCTCCTGGGTTCATGCAATTCTCCTGCCTCAGCCTCTCGAGTAGCTGAGATTACAGGCGCCTGCCACAACACATGGCTAATTTTTGTATTTTTAGTAGAGAGGAGGTTTTACTGCCAGGCTGGTCTGGAACTTCTGACCTCAGGTGATCCACCCACCTTGGCCTCCCAAAGTGCTGGGATTACAGGCATGAGGCACTGCGCCCGGCCTATCAGAACATTTTTATGCCACCAAAAGAATTAAATTCTCAGCTTGCTTTCACTATTAAGAAATATACAAATCCCAGTGCTTTGGGAGGCCAAGGCGGGCAGGTCACCTGAAGTCAGGAGTTCAAGACCAGCCTGGCCAACATGATGAAACCCTGTCTCTATAAAAATACAAAAATTAGCTGGGCATGATGGCGGGTGCCTGTAATCCCAGCTACTTTGGAGGTTGAGGTGGGAGAATCACTTGAACCCGGGGGACAGAGGTTGTAGTGAGCTGAGATCACACCACTGCACTCCAGCCTGGATGACAGAGCAAGATCTCAAAAAAAAAAAAAAAATACATATATATACACACACACACACACACATATACACACACACACATACATATATATACACACAAAACATGTTCTTATTTGGGATAGCTAAAAATTAAAATAATTGAACCCTTGGAGATAGAGAGTAGAAGGATGGTTACCAGAGGCTGGGAAGGGTAGAGATGGTGTAGGGAAGAAGTAGGGATGGTTAATGGGTACCAAAAAATAGAACAAATAGGCTACTCTGGTTGCACTGCCTGTGAGTTAGCCCTGCTCTGCAAGGAGCAGCCATAAAGAATCTTTTGTTAGTAAAAAAAAATTAATAATAATAATTTAATTGTACATTTTAAAATAACTAAAAGAGTATACTTGTATTGTTTGTAACGCAAAGGATAAATGCTTGAGGGGATGGATACCTGATTTACCCTGATGTGATAATTATGTACTGCATGCCTGTATCAAAATGTCTCATGTAACCCTGAATATATACACTACTACGTACCCACAAAAATTTAAAAACAAAATTAATACAAAAAAAAAAAGAAATACAAAACAGACATTCATATCCTGGGGAGATAATAGGCAATGATGAAGAAAGGGTCAAGAGTGTCTGGGAAAATCCTTTGATAATATGAAATAGTATATAGGTATAAATGGTGTTGATCCGGGCTCAAAAAACTTAGCTTGACACTTCACTAATGTAAATATAATCTGACGAAATTCAATTCTGACTGAATATAGATGTGAGGCACCCTGCCCAGCCTACAAATAGTCTTTACAAATAGTCTTTACAATCCAGTGGATGCCTTCTATTGCTCTTAGCAGCTAGTCTTGTTCTTTTGTTTATATTTTCTCAGCTGAAATCATTTCACCAATGATAGCTGCAACAACCTTTGAAATCTGGCCATAAGGTTTTACATAAGCCCTTCCACATAACCATTTTAATTTCTCAAATGCTCTTTCTTCTGGATCAATACCAAAATAGAATTTTCAAGAGAAAACACACATAGCATGCATATATACCAGAAAAACACACGTATGTATTTTTATATTATTTACCTCATTTATATTTCTATATTTTGTTGTTTTGTTTTGTTTTTTGGGTTTTTTTTTTTTTTTTTCGAGACGAAATCTCGCTCTGTCACCCAGGCTGGAGTGCAGTGGCACAATCTCGGCTCACTGCAACCTCCACCTCCTGGGTTCAAGCGATTCTCCTGCCTCAGCCTCTTGAGTAGCTGGGATTACAGGCGGGCACCACCATGCCCGGCTAATTTTTGTATTTTTAGTAGAGATAGGGTTTCACCATGTGTTTCAGGCTGGTCTCCAATTCCTGACCTCAAATGCCTGCCTCGGCCTCCCAAATGCTGGAATTAGAGGCGTGAGCCACCTCAGTTGGCCAATATTTCTATATTAAGTACCCTCATAGACACCTGAGCAGGTCAAGAAGAGACCCTTAAATCATGTTACTTGTAGACAAGTATAAATGATTTTAAAATAATGATGATAGTAATAGCAGTTTACTGTGTGTATTAGATACAGTGTTAACTCCTTTACATGCATTATTTCATTTGTTTCCACAATGACTCACAAGGAACTTGTATTAGTATCTCTATTTTGCAGAGGAAGAATTGAAGTTTTAAGAGGTTAGGTAACTTGGTCAAGGTCCAACAGATAGTGAATGGCAGAGCCAAAACTCAAGGTTCAAGAAAACCACTCTTCACCCTTAAGCCTACTGCCACCTAATGGAGAGCAATTGAACAATAGAACAGAAAATAAATAGAAATAAAGAAATAGAAAATGTGGCCAGCCTAATAGTGTAATCAGTTTTCCACAATTCTTCACAGTAGTCCCTGATTTTGCCACGTTCATTTAACTTTTATTTTTTGAAACAGAGTTTTGCTCTTGTTGCCCAGGCCAGAGTGCAACGGCGCGATCTCGGCTCACCACAACTTCTGCCTCTCGGGTTCAAGTGATTCTCCTGCCTCAGCCTCCCGAGTAGCTGAGATTATAGGTGCCTGCCACCATGCCCAGCTAATTTTGTACTTTTAGCAGAGACAGGATTTCTCCATGTTGGTCATGCTGGTCTCGAACTCCCGACCTCAGGTGATCCACCCGCCTCAGCCTCCCAAAGTGCTGGGATTACAGGCGTGAGCCACCAGACCCGGCCTAATTTAACTTTTTTTGCTTACCTTTTGAAGTAATGTTTTAAAAAAAATGCTACTTAGCCAAATGCCTCTTGAACTATGGTCAACAGAACAAAGTCAAGAGACTAAATTGCAAAAGAAAATTTCCACCTGATACACTTGAAGATATATCTATTTTGGACATAAGTGCGTAAAATAAAAAGAATTTTTTCCCCTGTTGACACATGGATTACAAAATCACTTTTATCCAGATCTAGCAGAAAAATACATACTCCTTTAATAGTCATTGCATACAAGACCGGGAATGGTGATTCATGCCTGTTATCCCAGCACTTTGGGAGGCTGAGGCAGGCAGATCACTTGAGATCAGGAGTTCGAGACTAGCCTAGCCAACACGGTGAAATCCAATCTCTACTAAAAATACAAAAATTAGCCAGGTGTGGCGTGGTGGCATGCACCTTCAGTTCCTGCTATTCCGGAGACTGAGGCAGGAGAATTGCTTGAACCCGGGAGGTGGAGGTTGCAGTGAGCCAAGATTTTGGCCACTATACTGCACCCTGGGCAACAGAGCAAGAATCTGTCTTCAAAAAAAGAAAAGCCGTTGTGTGTAAACTTACCCTCATACCTCTTAATTAATTTACTTTTCTTATTTTATTTTTTGAAGGTGAAGGCAGAAATTGGAGATGTTAGTATTTTAGTAAATAATGCTGGTGTAGTCTATACATCAGATTTATTTGCTACACAAGATGCTCAGATTGAAAAGACTTTTGAAGTTAATATACTTGCACATTTTTGGGTGAGTATGGTTTCTTTTACAAAAATATTCCTTTTGAAAATCCCAAAGATTAAAGTGGGGCTTTCAGCAGACATAAGGAAGTATTAAATCCATGCTCAAGTTTTCTCCAGGCACCAGGAATAACATTATACAAAGAGATCATTTTTCATGCTATCACCAAATTCTATCATTCTTCCTCACTTACAATATTAATAATAATAATAAATTAATAAGAAATGTCAGATATTGTATAGGTTTTAATTCTAAGCTAGGTTCTCACATTTCTGTGTGATCCTATTTAGAGATAAAGAAAGGAGTTGAGGACCATCTGAGTCATTGTCTGTGATTTTATAAAGGTGAATCCAGTTTGCTTTTAGATTGTCCTTTTTCTTTTTTAGACAGGGTCTCACTCTGTTGCCAAGGCTGGAGTACAGTGATGCGATCTCATCTCACTGCAGCCCCAACTTCCCAGGCTCAAGTGATCCTCCCACCTCAGCACCCCCAAGTAGCTAGGACTACAGGCATTAACACGCCCAGCTAATTTTTGTATTTTTAGTAGAGATGGGGTTTCACCATGTTGCCCAGGCTGGTGTTGAACTCCTGGACTCAAGTGATCCACCTACCTCGGCCTCCCAAAGTGCTTGGATTACAGCATGAGCCACTCCCCCTGGCTTTCAGATTTGCATTAGGCTCAGGCCTCATGTTATTTCCTGGCCCTAAAATTGCAAACCTTATTGTGAACCTCACCATTGAAGGTCTTAAGTTATATATATGTACATATGCTGTGTGTGTTTCTGAAGTCTTCAAATATTGCCTAAATAGCCAGTTCTTAAAAAGGCCCCTCAAAGATTTCTTGGATGAGAGTTTGGGATGACTAATCTCAAAAGAATATTGGGATTGATAAAAATGCAGTATTATTGTATGTTAACATTCCCAAGTTTTTGACATATATCTTTATATGTTTGTGTTTGTTCAAATATAAGTTACTGTCTCTTTTGTTGTTGTTGTTGTTTTGAGACAGGGTCTCTCTGTGTTGCCCAGCCTGGAGTGCAGTGATGTGATTTTGGCTCACTGCAGCCTCAGCTTCCTGGGCTCAAATGATCTTCCCACCTTAGCCTCCCTAGTAGCTGGGACTACAGGCGTACACCACCATGCCCGGGAAGTTTTTGTATTTTTTGTGGCGATGAGGTTTTGCCATGTTGTACAGGCTGATCTTGAGCTCCTGGGTTCAAGCAGTCCTTCTGCCTCAGCCTCCCAAAGTGCTGGGATTACAGGTGTGAGCCACTGCACTTGGCTGGGTATTATCTTGTTTGTTTCTTCATCCCAAGCATCCATTACAACAGGTAGAGGGCTGGGGAACATAAAAATTTAGAAATTTTTTTTTTTTTTTTTTAGACAGAGTCTCACTCTGTTGCCCAGGCCAGAGTGCAGTGGCATGATCTCGGCTCATTGCAACCTCCGCCACCCGGGTTCAAGTGATTCTCCTGCATCAGCCTCCCCAGTAGCTGGGATTACAGGCACCTGCCACCATGCCCAGCTAATTTTTGCATTTTTAGTAGAGATGGGGTTTCACCATGTTGGCCAGGCTGGTCTTGAACTCCTGACCTCAAGTGATCTGCCCGACTTGGCTTCCCAAAGTGCTGGAATTATAGGCATGAGCCACCACACCTGGCTGAATTTAGCAATTTAAATGAGATGGACTCTCAAAGCTTTCAGTGGCCATTGTTTTGCTCAGGTTTTCTAATGTGGGCATCATATCCAGTCCCCTTATTGTTGCTGCATTTGTCATTTAGTTTATGTTTTTTTCATTTATGCCAGGATTCATGTTAAAAAATATACTTCTGTTTCAAAGTATTCCCAAGGGCTCTGTGAGTCTGAAATACAGTATTTTTTTTTCTCTTTTAATAAAAACTATTTGTAGACTACAAAGGCATTTCTTCCTGCAATGATGAAGAATAACCATGGCCATGTTGTCACTGTGGCTTCGGCAGCTGGACATATTTCGGTCCCCTTCTTACTGGCTTACTGGTATGTGAACATGTGTTTCCTTCATTGGTTCTTATGCTTACCTTGTGTGTGATATTTCTTACCCTGTCTAATGAGAACTCTTTGTATAATCATAATAGACTTGAAATTGTCCAGTCTATTATTGAGAGTTGTCAAAAAACAAGCAGAAAGAGTTGCATAAAGTCTCTTGTCTAACAACATTATCAACCATTAATCCCCTTCTAGAAGACCCTGCTAGAGGTGGCAGCCAGAAATTTATTCAGTTATGAGCCAACCACTTTTAAAACATTTCTCGTCTCTTTTAACAGCAAGAAATTACAAAACAAGAACAATAATTAGTATTATTAACAATTGTAACAAAATTTAATATTAATAATTTTTAATATTAACAAAAATGGGTAAATTTTTGCAGAAATGAAATCAGAGTGAGAGAAAGAGAATATTAGGCATAGTTTGGTGATTTTTTTTTTTTTTTTGAGACGGAGTCTCACTCTGTCTCCCAGGCTGGAGTGCAGTGGTGCAATCTCGGCTCACTGCAAGCTCCGCCTCCCGGGTTCACGCCATTCTCCTGCCTCAGCCTCCCGAGTAGCTGGGACTACAGGCGCCCGCCAACATGCCCGGCTACTTTTTTTGTATTTTTATAGAGACTGCGTTTCGCCGTGTTAGCCAGGATGGTCTGGATCTCCTGACCTCGTGATCCGCCCACCTTGGCCTCCCAAAGTGCTGGGATTACAGGCATGAGCCACCGCACCTGGCCCGGTGATTTGTTTCTATACAACTTGCATTTGCAAGGGTATATAACAAACTGTTTTACTCTAATCACACCTAAAAAGTGGTTATTCTTAGGTAATGACGAGACAAGTAATTAAGTGATCTTTATTTTGTTCTTTTTGCTCATCTATATTTTCTTTCTTCCTTCCTTTCCTTCTTTCTCTTTTTTTTTTCTGAACATATATTTTCAAATATTAGTTTTCTAATAGTGGGATTTTAAACATGGAAAGAATCCAAACAAGGGAATTGGTTTTTTTAAAAATTTTCATGATTATCCGTTTAAAAAACATGCTCTTGTAATAACTGAAAACTTGAAATAGCAGTTCACAGTGACCCTATACTTCACTGGGGAGATCAGTGAGGCCACTGTATCTAGGATGATTCTACTGGTTACACACACCTTACCAATTCTTGGCTGTATTTTATGTTTTATTGAACACTTATTGTATGTTTAAGCAAATAATAACTTTTAAAATGTTAAATGATTGTGTAAATATATATGCATATATAATGTAATGCTCAAATTTGTTTTCTCCTTTGGAATTAAATATCTAAATTCTAAAAACATGGATATAGTTGTATATGTAGCTATAGATATGTATACAAATATGTAGACACAGGCATAGGTGAGTAATTTGTTTTTATTCAACTTGCATTTGCAAGGATATATAACAAACTGTTTAATCACACCTAAAAAGTGGTTATTCTTAGGTAATGGCAAAACAAGTAATTAAGTGATTTTTATTTTTTTCCTTTTGCTTATCTATCTTTCCTTTCTTCCTTCCTTTCTTTCCTTCATTCTCTTTCTTTTCTTTCTGAACATGTATTTTCATATACTAGTTGTCTAATAGTTTTTAAAATAAATACAGACTTGGGATCGGGCATGGTGACTCGTGCCTATAATCCCAGCATTTTGGGGGGCCAAGAAGGGTAGATCACCTGGGGTCAGGAGTTCGAGACCAGCCTGGCCAACATGGTGAAACCCCTATCTACCCCCATCTCTACCAAAAAATACAAAAATTAGCTGGGTGTTTTGACATACACCTGTAGTCCCAGCTACTCGGGAGGCTGAAGCAGGAGAACTGCTTGAACCTGGGAGGCAGAGATTGCAGTGAGCTGAGATCGTGCCATTGCACTCCAGCCTGGGCGATAGAGTGAGACTCAGTCTCAAAAATAAATAAACAAATAATAAATATAGATTTGGACTGAATTTTCAGAAAAAAAAAAAAAAGATGAAATAACTGGTGAAGCAGTCACAGAACAGACCTATGGTGTCAAGATTGTATATTGTCTCTTTTAGAGCCAGTTTAAGTTAGGTGATTACCACCAGCTATCAAGGGCTAATAAAATATGACATTTATTTCAATTCCTTGATGAAAGATAGTTACAGGTGCTGTCACCCTCCCTCAATCCCAGCCCCTGCAACTACTACACAACACCCTCCCAGCTCACCCCCAGCCGCTTATCTTAGTTACCAGGCACTGAGATAGGCAAAGAGGATCAGAGAACCCTGCAGGGCAGTGAGCTCTGTCATGCTTCTTCTTCTGTTTGCATAATAAACACTATAACTCTTTGGGTTCAGCCTTCATTCTGTTTAACTGTGCGTTTCACATGGAAAACCAAGCGAAAAATGTGCTTTTTGTGAGAAAGAAATTTATCTTCGTGATTAGTGGTGATGTTTTCGGCAGAAATAAAGGTTTTCATAAGGTACTGTCAAAGCAGGGATGCCACACACAGTTGTGCAGATTGTGCACTACACAATTCTACCATGCCGTATTCATATTGGGGTCCTTCAGACTTGTAGGATTTTTCCAACGGATGGAAGTAAAATTGCTTGAGGAGCGAAGTGGCTTTTTTTTTTTTTTTAAACAGTTTCGCACGGTTGCCAGGCTTGAGTGCAGTGGCGCGATCTTGGCTCACTGCAACCTCCGCCTCCCAGGTTCAAGGAATTCTCCTGCCTCAGCCTCCCGAGTAGCTGGGACTACAGGCGCCCGCCACCACGCCTGGCTAATTTTTCTTAACTTTTTTTTTTTTTTTTTTTTGTATTTTTTTTTTTTTTTTTTTTTTGGTATTTTTAGTAGAGACAGGGTTTCACTGTGTTAGCCAGGATGGTCTGGATCTCCTGACCTCGTTATCCACCCACCTTGGCCTCCCAAAGTGCTGGGATTACAGGTGTGAGCCACCTTGCCCAGCCGAGAAGTGGCTTTTAAGAAACCACACAAGGGTGCCATTTGGGCTAACATGCAGGGTGGCAACCACAAAAGCGGTTTGTACACTTCCAGCTTTGTGACAGAGCTGTGCTTTGGTAGCCCTTAGAGAACTCCTCTTCAGAATCCTCAGCTATTACTGACCTGAATTATTGCAATTTGTGATCCTTACTGACCACAGTTATCTTCAACTCTGTCAGCTCTGGTTTTTGCTCAGCATCTAATCAATGATAGGACTTTTACAGAGATGTGCTAAAGATAACTGCCAGCAGAAAGCAGTGTTTATCAGATACTGTTATTAACAATTGGGCAATTAAACTGAGACACTGCTTTTTAAAACATTTAAACATTTTTTATTGACACATGACGTACATTTATAAGAATGAAGAAATCGGCCGGGCGCGGTGTCTCACGCCTATAATCCCAGCACTTTGGGAGGCCGAGGCAGGCGAATCACGAGGTCAGGAGATCCAGACCATCCTGGCTAACATGATGAAACCCCATGTCTACTAAAAACACAAAAAATTAGCCAGGCATGGTGGCAGGCACCTGTAGTCCCAGCTACTTGGGAGGCTGAGGCAGGAGAATAGCGTGAACCCCAGAGGCAGAGCTGGCAGTGAGCCGAGATCGCGCCACTGCACTCCAGCCTGGGCGACAGAGTGAGACTCTGTCTCAAAAAAATCGCCGGGCGCTGTGTCTCACGCCTATAATCCCAGCACTTGGGAGGCCGAGGCAGGCGAATCACGGTGGTCAGGAGATCCAGACCATCCTGGCTAACATGATGAAACCCCATGTCTACTAAAAACACAAAAAATTAGCCAGGCATGGTGGCAGGCACCTGTAGTCCCAGCTACTTGGGAGGCTGAGGCAGGAGAATAGCGTGAACCCCAGAGGCAGAGCTGGCAGTGAGCCGAGATCGCGCCACTGCACTCCAGCCTGGTCACAGAGTGAGACTCTGTCTCAAAAAAAAAAAAAAAAAAAAAAAAAGAGTGAAGACATCATAAGTCTGCAGCTCAAGGAGTTACTACAAAGTGGATACATCCATTTAACTACCATGCAGGTCAAAAAATTAGAACATTACAGGACCCCAGAACCCCCTCTTGAAATCCTTCCCAACCACCAATCTCTCCTTCCTTCCCAAAGGTAACCACCATGTTAACTTATAACACCTTAGATTAATTTTGCCTATTTTTGATCTTTATGTCCATGGAATCACAATATATTTGTGAGATTTAGCCATGTTGTGGTTAGTAGCTATAGTGTGATCATTTTCATGGCTGCATAGTGTTGTATCATGTGACCAATTTATTTGTCCATTCTATTATTTATGAACATTTGGGTTGTTTCCAGTAAAAATATTATTTCTGAATGGCATTATGAATGTTGACTCAATCACTCACCAGCTGTGTGACCTTAGACAAGTTACTCTACTCTGTGCTTCATTTGCCTCATCTGTAAAATAGGTTAATAATAATATCTAGGCCAGGTGCGGTGGCTCACGCTTGTAATCCCAGCACTTTGGGAGACTGAGGCGAGCGGATCACGTGGTCAAGCGATTGAGACCATCCTGGCCAACATAGTGAAACCCCGTCTCTACTAAAAAATACAAAAAAGATTAGCCGGGCGTGGTGGTGCATGCCTGTAGTCCCAGCTACTCGGGAGGCTGAGGCAGGGGAATCGCTAGAACCCAGGAGGCAGAGGTTACAGTAGGCTGAGATCGCACCACTGCACTCCAGCCTGGCGACAGAGCGAGACTTTGTCTCACAAAAATAAATAAATAAATAAATAAATAAATAAATAAATAAATAATATCTAACTTATTAGAATGATGTAAGGTTTAAATCATACACTGTATTGGACTTAGCATAAAATCTGAAATCTTGCAAGTGTTCAATAACAGAAGGTTGCCTGTTGGTATTACGTTTCAATTCCACTTCCTGATATTCACACAAAACAGGGAGGTTCCACCTCTAATTTTAGCTTCCAGAATGCTTTGCCCCAATGGAATTCATCATATATGCTCTGACGCCTAATTGTTGGGAT